AGCTCTAGTGTAGCTTTGCGCGAAATTAAAAAACAAACAAACAAACAAGCTTTAAGTAAAAACAAACAAACAATCTTCTGTATAAGGAGAAGGAACTCCTGCTTGGATTTATTAGTATCGAAAACAAAGCATAAGTTGAAATACGGCTACATTATATTTTACTTTTTATAGATAAATACTCATAACAAAGTTAATAATGCTTTGATTTTCAAAATCAAAAGCTATCTTAGGTTTATAAAAAAAGGTACATTGAAATTTAACAAATTATTTATTCAAATTTGTTCAAAGTCACTTGGTGACGATTTTAATAGCAATAAGTACAGATATTTTTCCTTCAGTCTTAGAACATAACCACTACTGGTATACTGATGCTAGTTTTGGGATCTTTCAAAATATTCCGCCTCCAATGTGATAAATCTCAAACTACCGATTTGTGTTTATAGTGTTACTACGAGTGGGATCAAAGTACTACATTGTATCGATTAATTTTATGCTTTTGCCTTATAAAATACTCAGTGTAAATAACTGACTAAAACAGCTGAGGTGAAATCACTCATTTTTTATATAATATATCTAGGGAACTCGAGAAGTAAATAGTGGGATTAGCTTCAGTACTGATGATATTGTTTTAAAGTTTTTAATGTGTATGTGAATCTTATGTAACCAATAAATGTATGAGTCTACGAGTCATTTCGTGTATAAATAATTTTGAAAAATATGTTTAAAGACTAACGCGTTTCACGTGGACGGATCCCATAGCTTGTGTTTTGAATAAACGATTACCTTTCTCTTAATATAACGAGGGACATCTTTTTTGTTTTGTGAGAAACTTGGCTTTTAAGATCTGAATCCACTTTCATAGTCAAGCTAAATATCACCATTGATTTATCTATGGTAGTTAAACGTAGAACCGGTTTCTAGGAATTCTTAATAAGGTAATTTATAAACAGAAAAGTTGCCGAGTCGGTAGGAAAAAAAAGAGTTACTCTGTTTCAATGATGGTAAACATCTCAAATGTTGACTTTCTCAAGGCTACGTTTTACTTGTTTGCATAGCTTTTTATATAACAAAAAGTATATGTTATTGTCGTATTCGAATGTGTATTCTTCTATAGTCGTACGATACAGGCATCTTACTCTAGCACATTTTATGAGTATCAAAGTAGCTGTTTTTGTTTCTTTCTTTGTTTTTCTAAATATATGTAGTATAATGTGGGTCTATAAGTGAATGTTTTTGTTTTATCAGAAATTTTACTTTCAAATTTTCAAATGTTATTATGTACTTATATGATCCTGATGTTATACAGTAAAATTAACACTGTTAGGATGTTTTAAAAACTAAGAACCTTGTTCCGAATTTCTGAAGACGGATACGTTCATTCGTCTAGTTATTGTTTTTTATGACAACAGAGAAAACGTATTAGCCAAAGAAAGAGTTGATCGCGAGTCAACTATTTAATGCTTATTTTAAAGATTTCTTTTCACCAAAGACAAAATTGAATATATGATCTGTGAAGTAAAGGCCTAATGAATTCTTTGAAGCCTTAAAAGCCTTACTATATTACTTTTCATAAAAACGCTTTTAAACAAAAAATGGGAACCACTGGCAATAACATTTATAAGCTTTAAAAACACACGTTTAGAATACTTCTTTTCAATTTCACTATCGTTATTGATAAACTCACCAGTTGGTTGTATGAGTTCTGTTAGAGGGATAATAGGGTACATAACATCCAAAGTGACACATTTTAATTATCTTTCACTTGAAGATTAAAAACTGTCCGATAAAGTATTCCCCAAAACGTAACTAAAATCAATCAAACAAAACAGTGATTAGATTTTGATTGATTGTTTGTTTGTTATTGAATTTCGCGCAAAGCTACTTGAGGGCTGTCTGTGCTAACCGACCCTAGCTTTAGAAGTGATCGACTAGAGGGAAGGAAGCTGGTAAACATCTCTCACTACCAATTCTTGAGCCGCTTTTTATCAACGAATAATGGGATTGATTCTATCATTATAACGCCCCCACGGCTGAAAGGGCGAGTATGTTCGGAGACGGGATTCAATTTGTGCTCTGTCAACCGCGGGTATTGAAACCCGATTTTTAGCGTTAAAAGCGCTCCAACTTAACGCTGAGCCACTGATGAGCTAGTGATTAGCGGTGTTACGTTTGAAATTATAGGTCTGAGTAAACATTGGTTTGAAAATATCTTGTAATGATGGTCAGAAATCTGAATACTCTCTCTTTTTTTAGATTTAACAAATACCATTTTAATTCAAGTTACTTGTCTCAGTTTTATCTTTAGTTATCTCAGATGAATGGCAGATTTACACCGATGTCAGGGGCGGAGCGTATAAGAGACATTATTCTCACCAACTCAAAAATATTATACAATATTTGTGGAGATAGGTGGGGGAGACAGAAACATCGAAAGAGGGTGTATATGAGTCACTGATGAGAGTTTATTCATTTAGGAACATGAGCTGGTTCTTCCCATTTGTACAACCCCCCCCGCACGTGATAGAATAACCCACCCTAAACAAAAGATTCGCTCGCCACCTATGACCAATTCCCTTAATCAGCTTTTGCGTTATTCGTGACCTATATCAAATAGTGGCGCCCCCTAGTTCATCTTGTAAGACAGAACTAGAGAAGATAATTTATAGTTATTTATACTACAGACATAGCTTGAAGGTACAAGTTAGAGTGATAATATGGTCTGCTACTACAAAAAAGCTATTATGAAATTAAACCGACTATTTTATGAATAATCTAAATAGACAAGTAAAGAGCTAACCAATACCAACTTACATAAATAAATGTATAAACATACTTTTTAATATTATTTTTGTAAAAATACACTTGCTTTGACATTTTGTTGTTGTTGTTTTCGAAGTTACTTTTACAGTCCTATTAAAATCAATGCTTGTGCAATGAGAATTGATTGGTTGCCAATACAATATACAATAAACAGGTCTTTACTTAAACTGTGTTGTTCTCATACTTGCCTAGAATAAACAAAAGTAAAATTAAAGTACACAAAGAGTTAATGATGAAGATATTTTAGAATTAAAGCTTTTTAAGTAATGGCTAGTAACCTCTGACTAAAAATGAGTAAAAAGATTAGGCATGCAAAAAACCTCGTGTTTTTATATCTTATGTTCTAAAATAAATAACTAAGTTTTTTGTGTCTCAGTGCTATACCATTTTTGTGTTATAGTTTTTGTTTTTTATTCATATGACCGAACTTGTCTAAAAAGTGTTAATATTTAGTTTTCTCATCGTGGAACTATTCGTAATATCTTGTTCACAAATAAAGCAAGCTACTTTGATACTCAAGGAAATAAAAGAGGCTTAACTGTTCATCACCTAGGAGACTACGCAATATATTTTTACTATTAAAACTTTTTAAAATTCTGTTTTATTTTAGCTTTTCGTCTACATTGAACGATATTTATAGATAATGGAGGCTTCTGAAAGAAAACTAAAAGTTGTATAACGTGTAATGGCAGGTTAAAAGTAATGAGTTTGGAAACGTCAGTAGAATGTTGTACTATTATTAAACTAAGAAAAAAAAAGAGCTCCCAGTGCCGTAGCGGTATATCTGCGGACTTACAACGCTAGAAACCGGGTTTCGATACACGTGGTGGGTAGAGCACAGATAGCCCGTTGTGTAGCTTTGTGCTTTACTACAAACATAAATACATGTACATATGTGAAATCATTTCAAAGCTTAAACTGAAAATATGTGATATAGATTAAATCTGAAAAATAGTTGTGAATTTGAAACTATTGACTGTATTTTAAGTGAGAAAATACTATGGTAAACGAAAGACATAAAATGACCTTGCAACACAGCTGAAGGTAAATTTAGTATAAACGTTTTTTGTGGGACAGCCTAACATTCATTTCGTGTATTGTGTTGAAAGATGTTATTCTATAACGATTTTGCTGCCTCATTAGATACATTTTTTCATGCTTGCAGCTCTGATAAGTTTAACTCAATAGTTTTAATATCAATGTTGTTCAACACATGGTAACTCCCCAGTTTCTAATTAACCCTTCCCAGATATCAGTTTTACATGGGTAGCGGAAGTGGAGTTTTGAGTTTTAGTTTCACTGCTGGCTTGAGATAACTTAAAACAACTTAGTTTTATACTTTATGTTTTTTTTTCTAATACTTATTTATTCTCGGTACATGTGTGATAATTTGAGTTGTTAGAAGTGTCTTAGTAAGAATAGTTAAACATTTAGATCAAATGATAGAGCACTCGATCGACGTTAGTGAGATACAGGGTTCGAAGTTCTACCTTTCTAGTGAGTTGTAGTTACGGGATTAACACACTTCAACTTGCCATATGAAATTATGGGTTCAATCCCGCGAGAGGTAACTGACACAGTAACTCGTACATATATATTTTATGCAGATGACCATTGGTGATTTGACGTTTTTTTATAGCTTTTCAAAGGCATTATTTATTTATGTATATTAATTACATAATTCATAACAATCTGTACTAAAATTCTGTGAAGCTACTTTTGGGTTTGGATTATTTGATTTCACCTTTTAAAGACGTATGTATACTAAAGTTCTTAGGTATGACTTCTATATCATAACAAAGAAATAAGTAACAGATATAACATTATTCTGTACAGCTATATGAATAACTTAAATTAGATATAGTTAATTTTAATATATTTCTCAGTGAGGTAAATCATATCTTATTAGTACGTATACTATTCATAAGTCAGTTTTATGTAACTGAAACTGGATGACTTGGATTATAGAAAGCAGAATAGACAAGTCGGTCGAGTCCACGTGAAAAGTTTTTATACTATCAGTGACCTCTTTATGAAAATAGCTAACGATTAGGATAAAAATAGCATTAATCTATGATCCAACTCTTTCGAGATCTGTTATAAAAGTTAATCCATAATTACGTGCTTGTTTATAAAGCGTCGGTTCTCAAGGCCAGTAAACATTCAAGTCGCACAAGTGTTGTTGAGCTGCAACGTAGTTGTTGGAGAAACTTAGACGTAGGTACTTTTAACAGTGAAGGAACCTGTCCGGTACAATGAAGGCAGGAAAAATTTGTATCCTCTACGCCTTGCTTTATCATGGCAGCATTTATGAAGTATTAGCTAATCCAGTGAAACCAAAAAACGGAAATGAATCAGAAGACGCAATATTGCCAATTCGAACGACATCACAAGATCTTGTTCCTGTGCCTTCAAGTGATTTAGAATCAGCCAGCGTGCTTACAATCTCCCACACCCATCCTCTACCACAAAGCCTTCAAAACATATAGTTACTCTAGAACCTCCGAAAAGTCAAGTTAGCTCAACAGAACAGTCTGCATATACAATATGGAAGGAAGCCGAAAAGAATACCAAAAGTATGGTTAACTCCCTTTACCGTGACTTTCTTCCTAGCTTTATACGCACGAGTGGTGATACCAAACTATCGAGTCCGTGCATGTCCAGCATGTTAAAATTGATATTTGAAATAAGGAAACTTAAAACCTGGGCCATTAGAAGTAAGTTTGTAGTAGATATCATTCGGTTATATATTACTATTCTAAGTATTATACCTCGCAACTTGTAAACCTGGAAAATTTGTATTTTAAAAACCCGGCTGATTATGTTTATATCATATAATACTAACAATCCTATATGTATATAAACAAATCACCAGTATGATTCACCTGTGGATACGAATAACAAAACACTAGAATATCAGACTATTCTATTTTAAGTCTCTCTCTCTCTCTTATATATATATATATATACTTTCCTACATGTCATTAGAACTGGAAATTACAATAACTAAAGAAGTTCAATATATATATATATATATATACATATATATAATTTAAAAGTACATTATATGTA